CAACAATATTTAAATGTATTATTATGTGTCATATAGTGTCTTTTCTTACGTTTTAGGGATCATAGAATCCATTTCTGATGTTAATACTGAGATTAGTAAATTTTACAGTGAGTTCAGATACCATGTGAGCTGACAGTTAACTGTCAAGCTAGACTGAAGAGCCAGAATCTTCGATAACGGAGACAATGAACAACCTCAGTCATCTTGATCAATCTAAAAGAGGACGTAATCATTGTGAATTATTTCCTTTTAGGTACCGCGTAGCAAACCCATGGCCTTTGTACGTGCAAGTACTAGTCTGGTGTTCCTTTCAATGCTGAACATGGCAGGTTTGGTATATTCCCATGATCCAAATGCAGGGAAAACGACACTGCATTGCCGAACGAACTGCAGCCTTCAACCTACCCAACATTCACTGCACAAGTTTCGGGACGTGTTTGAAAGCAACGGCGTCAAATTTGTGGATGTTTTCATGCAAGTCAAAGAGAACAACAGTGACTCAGAACCAAGGACAAAATCAAGCGTTTTTCAACTCTTTCAGTGGCATGTGATAGATAAGAAGAGTGGTGTGGTTTATATGAAACTAGTGTATGACTTCGAGGTCCTCTCTTTGTGGACATTAAGTTCGGGGATATATGAACTATCGATAGAGTTACTACCAATTCAACCCGACTGCTGGGCGAAATTAGATCTAGAATGTCAGCTTTTCACGGTGTCTAAGGCTGTTCTGCAAGTGCTGTATTCACTGAAAGAAAAACTAGGGGACAATGGTTTGAGGTTATGCGGTGAGAATCACTTTCACCAAGGTGGGTTTTTCCAAGAGGATAGTTGTATCGATGTAGCCAATGTTACAAAGTCGACGTCATTAACATTTCTTCCTGCGGAGAAATCTGATACCAGTTATATATTAACAGGAATATTTGACTTGGTAGTCGTTGGAATTTTTTTGGCTGTTTTACCCCTCCTTGTGTTAACCATTTTACCAAGGGGGGTTTCAACTTTTCTAAGCAAAGACGCTTTTCGGGAACTCAAAATATTTGAATACTGCAACGGTTTCACCCCTCCCACAGAGAGACTGTTCATGATACTACAGAATTCTCGACTGTGCATACCTGTCCGAGTTCTTTTATTTGTGCTACTGCACTCTAGCTCGCTTTTCGCTTTCTTAACGAACACGGCCTTTTATTCGAATGTATGGGTGTCGCAGTGTTCACATTTACGCTCCCTGAATTTTTTATACCTTACGAAGTTTTTACCCTCTTTGTTCACTGCTGTTCCTACGTGCATTCGTTTAGGGGTCCATCCATGGGCAGATTTTGCCATTACGTCACTCGCTTTGGTAGCGTTTGCGTGGTCCTTTCTCTTTTTTATCTTAACGCCGATGTTGACTTATGAACGACTGGAAGGTAGTTTATTAACTAAAATGGATTTTAGATTTGCTGCTGACACTACTTTTGGGATGCCAATGCCGAACATATGTCTTGAAAAGTCCATGAGGATGTTCATGAATCCTTGCGTGTTTGTAAAAATGCTGAAAGAAACTTTTGTGAAAAGGAAAATAATGGATTTTGTAATGATGCTTCTTATACTGCCATTATTCCCTTTCGGCTACATATTTTTTCTTGCTCTGTATGTGCAACAAAGCTTCCTTAACAAATGCCCCTACGTGTGTTGCCGCTGGTTTGGTCACGCTTACAATGTTCTATCACTTGTGCCTTTCTATTATTTTGTTTTACTCTATATCGACGTTGCCTACCGCCTGGTTTGGACTTTAGCCATGGTGCTGTCTGGACTGGCACTAAACACGAATGGTGTTCTGCCGTACGTGGTATTGGCGTTATCGTTTCTGTATTACATGATTTTGCCCTTCCACAACTTGCAAGATGAGTATAGAAAATTAAAATTGATAGTGTTTGAGGAATGCGAGCGAATGTTCAGTGAATGTGGGGACTTAGGTCAAAATTGTGGGTCTTTGGCGGAGATGGGTCTCGAGGAACACATTCAAAACTCCAGGGCATCAGCTGAATCAGTTGCGCGCGACGACCAGGGTACTACGACGCCATTGTTGCAAAGGGGAATCGACGCCACCCATGAATACAGTGACGTCTTAACTTACGGCACTGGTGAAATATCATCGAGATTTGATACTTGCGATGGACCGATTTACGTTTGCGACAATTATGGCAATAAGAAAATACACAAACAACTATGGTGCTTCATCTGTAGTCGAATCTTGCCTCCAAGACAGAAGCTGCTGAAGGCGTCTTTCACCGCTTTCTGTTTGATAATGTCGATACTGATATTTTCCCTTGGACTTGTGGCTTACAACGCATATGAAAGATTCACCACCATTGGACATTCGTTTTCCACCTTTGCGACGGCCATTGTACCAAAGTTTCTTTACAACTTTTTGGCTTCTGAGAGCGCCAAGCAATCAAAGGAGCGACGCTGGAGAAGTATTGTTGTAATAACGATCAAAGAATATGCAAACATTGCTGCAGATAAGAACAATCGAACGCACGAACGTCGATCTTTGATATAGAACTAACGCAGAAACCTACTTCTTGAATTAACTGTTACCTGAACACATAAACAAACACGCGTTCTTACACATGCACAGTATATTCAAGATCCCAGATGCTCAAATCAAATAGCCTATAAGGTGTCCCTCGATATCGTTGCAAACCATTTCCAAATCTGTTTATTTTGAAAAAATATATGTATATAAAAAATAAATATTGAAGACCGTTAAACTCACTAAATGTGTTAATTTTTCCTTAGTCCTCTTCAGTCCTCAAGCAGAAGAATTTCCTTCTGAATCAATATGAAGAATTTCTTGGTGGTAATAAGGCAATAATTTGACCATGGCCTTTTTAAATGTACTGTGTCGTCCGCAGAGCAGTCCTCACTAGCGCTCTCATGTGCTCGTAACTCGAAAACATTGCGAATTGCGACTCAGCGATATCACCTTTTATTTCGAGGCTATTATATGGGGTGAGTAAATCCCGAGTTATGGAATAGAGACGCTTGCGCTCGGTCGCAATTCGCGATGCTTTCGTGTTGGAAAGGGGGGGGGCTACTTGATTGACGACGGCTTCATATTGACGGTCTCATCAAAAACTATTTCTTAGTTTGTTTTTTCTTAAATCAGAGTAAAATATGAAATTCATAATTAAAATGATTATTTTCAATTAGTGCGGAAGTCTCTCGGCCGGTGTGACAGGAATGGAGGTCTGCCAAGAACCATTGTCCTATTATTTTGTACAAGCGGCATTCGTCCCATATAGTAACCTCTATACTCCGACTAACCCTTTCCTGTGCCAATCATATGGGGCCCGGACCTCCATTCCTACATCTATTATTCCTGTCACACTGGCGTGTTAGAGACTATTATTTCAAAAAATTCTATGAATTTAAAGTAATGAACAGGTCAAATAAAACAATTTACTTTATAGCAAGGCTTTACTTTTTTTATTATTGAATATTTTCCCAAATAATTCGGCCTTTATATGGCAGAGGCACCATACATTATTGTTTGTACACAATTACTTGTTCCTCGCTGACGGGATGTTTAGAAATGCCAGTCAAAAAAAAAATAAATAAATAAATAAATTAAAAAAAAAGAAAAAAAAAGAAAAAAAAACTTACTTGTCGTTCAGACATTTTTTGTTTGTTTGTTTTCAAATTTTGATTATTTCCAGTTAACCCTTCTACCATTTTACCCTGCAAATTAGGTGTATGATAATTTTGCAAAAAAGAAGTATTTAAGAGTCTGGGGAGGGGGTATCTTGGAGCGACATGATCGTATACTATGACAATACAAATACTTAAACCTTCAGAGGGAATCCCCTTAAATACAAAAAAAAAATAGAAATTGTTAATCCGATCGGATTTTTACAGTATGCCACTGTAGACTGTAGATCTACAGGTACACAGGGGTATCAGCTGGCTAAAAAGACGAAATCATCTACTTTTATGTACGTCCTTGACGGTTACAAAGGTATCTTCAGCTGGAAAGAGGCTGGGCGTAGGAAGATATTTTGGTCGTCGCGTGGGATGAGATAAGGTCGAGTTCGTAAAAAACACATTTGACGCTTTTTGTATAGTATGCATACCCATCTTTGGCACTTAGATTTAAATTGTAATGCAGTGTATTATGAATGAGCGCAGCTGTCGGACACAAAAATTAATAATTTTGTTAATTTAAAATAAAATATTGCATAAGCCTACATGACAACACGTAGCCAAACAGTTCGAACTGTTTTTTGAACCTAGTCAATAATCTTAGCTGATAAAAAAACGCCGATATAAAATGACCTTAACCTTGTCGGCTATTCATATAATGCACCCGCCCCCTCTTCATTTATTCATACATTTCAACTCAAACGTATCTTTACGGGTTGGTTTTGATGTCATTCACCCCTCCCCAATCGCCACAATACCAATCAAGCTAAAAACAAAACGAGAAGCAGCGATTGTTTAGTCTACCTTATTGAAGACAGTGGACATAACACGAGAAAGCTTTGCATACTGGGATGGAAAAAAGAGGTTTAATACATGTAACAGCTAGTTTGCTCTTATCTGATTTTTTGGGTTCACTTTGAAGCTTTGGGAAAGGTACCAGTAATCTGTTCATAGGCCATTTGGACACTGATGCATGTAGATGGCAACGGCTTAAAATCATTGGAGGAACCATAAAGAAATTTATTCTCTAAAATGCAATTGTAAATGGAAACAGTTCGGATGCAGCAACAGGAAAGTTTTTATGATGCAAGGAACTCTGTGATTATATAGTCACATTTGTTTCACTTTATGTTAAGGCTTATTTGACAAGAACAAAGACATATGCCCCATTCCCCTAGACACCAGCATTCAGCGAAGAGAGCTGCGGAGCCGGAACGGAGAACGAATCTTTCATTGTGAATGAACTCTTACTCATCTAGTGGTATTTTGCATAAGGAATTTTAAAAAATCTAGACTCGACTATATCCCGCGCTGATAACCTAACAAGACAGAATAATCTATCTGTATTCTCAAAATACCGGCTGAAGTTTCAGAGAGTCCACCAGACCAAATTGTAAGTCCATTTTTGGGTTTATAAAATGTCCTTTTTTGTTTCAGTAAGTAGACTACCGAATTTGAGAGGAGCAGATATGATAAGCTACAAATCAAACCTCTCTTATCCATGTAAAAAGAGGAAGGGTCTCTGAGGTCCGAAGTTCGAAATATTGTGCCATTCTATCACAAACAGTGTTACCATAAGATTTGTTTTTCTATTTTAGCAACGGCACAGTTTGAGAGCCCCGAAATTTGGGTGTAAATACATTTTGTTAAATTACCTTTGATGAGTTTTAAAAATTCAACTGATGGATGGTAATGTCTGCTTTATAACTACTACATACAACCCCAAAATAACAAAAATTTTGTCCGAAATTGAAAAAATTCCAATAAAAAATTCAATGCGATAAACATGCAACCTAATTTAGGTAACCTTGTGTGGTATCCTTTAAGCGTAATAATTTTTTTCTGCATTTATCAATGGATTATCTCTTACAATTGGCAGGTTAGAAAAAAAGCTGTTAAAGGTCCATAAATACAGTTAAAGAGATACTGAAAGAGATGCATGTACAAAAGCGACGTAAAATACTATGTTCAACAGAACTTTCTTTTTTAAAGCGAGTGTTAGGGGAGACCGGGGCTGGTTTGACCCCGGGGTAAGGTAGCCCTTAGTCAAAAAGTAAAAATCCTGTATCCAACAATGTCAAGAAGGGCGTCGGTTGTAAAAAGTTTTACTTAAGCGGTGAGTCCTAAATGAAAGACATTGCATCGTCAAATAGTTTAGATTAAAAGTACCTTTGTTCAATTAATTTGAAAATTTGTTTTCATAGGCTTGTGATTGAATAAAGTATGCAGATAGGCCATCAAAAGCTATTTGCCAAAATGGCTGCAAGCTTTTAAAATGAAAATGCGCACCTGGGACTACATGTAGTTGTACATGTACGACCTGGCTTGGGCAAGTTGGACCATCTTTTTGACCACAATCCTTTGCGCGCAACGGAGCCATAGATCATTATCAAGGATTTGGGACAGTCAAGGATTTGGGAAATGATTACCTGAAAATGCTAGTTACGTTTAAATCAAGAGTTTATTATTTTTCAAAAATCAGTTTTATATTATTATCAGTTTAAACAGATATATCCTTTGTTTGAAATTATGACACGAAGAATTCACACCGGGAGACCAAAACTACATATATGATTAGTGTGATGTGAAAACAAAGTCAAGGTTTTGTTAAATAAATACCAGTATACGGTTGAAATTGTTACTCACTCTTAAAACAATAGTTTATTATTTGTTATCAATCATTAAAAACCTGTTTTAATATCATAATTAGTTAAATGAAAATTTAAAAAAAAACAAGTTTGATTGATACATATTTGGGGTCTCATTATGTTTTTTTCACCATATACAAAATTAATGAAGGTAACATATCGAAACTTCTGTATATCGGCTTCATTTAAACTTTTATTTTAACAAAAACTATAAAAATCAATTTAATAAAATAAAAATGTGTGAAAATGCATTTCATGGCGTTAACATATTTACTGTAATTAAGTATAGGGTGCCAACTTGGCCCCACCCCTGACGTCAGTTTACGTTTTAATAGTCAAATTGTAAGCCATCTAACATTAACTTTGCAAAGTAATGACGCTGCATTATGTGAGTAGTCTTTGTTCTAAAACCAGTTTGTTGCTCTAACCCATTCCCTCTTGGCTCTAGAAGGCCCAAAATGTCTATCTGGATCAACTAGCCCCGACCACCCCTACTTTACTTACTTCCGTTTAACCCACGAAATTCTTTTTTTAAAAATGATTGCCAGCGTAGCCTACATCTGTCTAGAAATGGCGGCCAAAGAAATTTTCAAGCTTATCATTTGGATCTTCTCGTGAAAAATTGCTCTGTTTTTATTAATAATATATATGCAGAGAGGTAAGTTTTATTGTTAGAAAAACCATATTTTAATCAATTTTGATACACTTTCCTTTTCCTCGTGAATACAATGTTAATTGGGTTAACTTACGAGAGAATACTGTTAATAAATGGCCGCAGGTTTAGCAGTGTTGACACATGTGAATATGTCTAAGAAATCCTCCACAATCAAAATAATAAGGCGCAAATAAAGTATTTTATGATATTTTTGTGTAGCTAGGGAAAGAGTTGTAAAAATAGAGAGCTTGAGGGTAGCAGAGCTTGGATTATCACGCCTTCCATGTCAAAATTACAGAAATTAAGAAGGTGAATACTACAAAAAAACCATATTTTCTTTCCATCATGTTTAAATAGAGTTTTAGAGGCCCTCCACTTTCCACTTTCCACCCGTGGTACTTCTGTTCTCCCCCCCCCCCCCCACCCCCACACCTTTGGTGTTCACTACAGCTTTTCTTGCACCTTCGTCTGATACTAACGCCCAACGAATGCAATGCCCATATGAATCACTCAGCCATTGAAACATTGTGTCTATTACATGTACACTAGTGTGATGTTTTTGTTCTGAATTGTTTGAAGAGTGGAAGTTGGGAAGAGAGAATTGTCAGTGACGGTCACCCAACTTGATTGGCCTATTAAAAAATATGTATATTTAAAACGGTTCTCCTTTTTTCACGCTGTTTCTTCTCTTTTATACAGAATTTTGTCTTTATTTCTAATTTTACATTGCCAGATGACGGCTGAAGTGTGTAGACGCTGGAAATGGACATTTGCACTGCTGCTGCTATTAGGGGTTGCATCATTAGTATTAATGTATTATCGTACAGGTAAGTGAATGGTGTGGGCATACCATAACCTCTCTCCCCGTGCAGTAAGAACTGAATATGATATCGGTATATTACCAGATTATCCCGATAGACAATACAATACAATTACCTTGTAATTTAATATGCACTGTTAGTTACAGAGATTGCTGTCGAAAATACACGTGTGCCTTGAACTTCTCAATAATAGTATATACAGACTTGACATTTANTAGATGACGGCTGAAGTGTATAGACGCTGGAAATGGACATTTGCACTGCTGCTGCTATTAGGGGTTGCATCATTAGTTTTAATGTTTTATCATACAGGTAAGTGAATGGTGCGGGCATACCATAACATCTCTCCCCGTGCAGTAAGAACTGAATATGATATCGGTATATTACCAGATTATCCCGATGGACAATGCAATTACTGAGTACCTTGTAATTTAATATGCACTGTTAGTTACAGAGATTGCTGTCGGAAATACACGTGTGCCTTGAACTTCTCAATAATAGTATATATATTCGCAACTGGATATTTCAATGGGAAGCATGAATCAAAACAAATTACGACTGGTCTTTGCATGAATCCATTCACGAACTTAAGACATATGCACAGCAAACACTTCGGTTGTGATTTTAATCCGTGGAACCTCGGTATGGAAGCAGTACGTGTGCAATCATACACCGAATTGAATTTGATTAATATTGTTAAGGACACTATTAGCCCATGCCAAAGCTTCCGATTTACTGCCTTGCATACATTCTTCTTGCTAACAAATAAATCTTCAGTGTTCATTAACTAAATAATTAACATTTACACATGTCATCTCACGGATGACGTCAAAATTGCAATTTTGGGGTATTAATTGAAAAATCAGCTTCTCAAATTTCTCCTTCACCCGAACACCTACAAACACCGTTTCAACGCCAATTTAATGACACCATTTAGTACTTCAGAACCCTGCTAGCGGTTTTTCCTAAAAGCCTTAGTTCAGGTTTTATCGTTGACAAAGCAAAATAATGGGTCTGTTTAATAAAAATCTGTAATTAGGGGCTTCTTACTCCATAACAAGACAATTAAACCAAAATGGCGTCACGGGATTAAAGGCCCATAGACTTGTCGTCAACTATGCCAATTTTCGAGTCTCTGTTTTGATTTCGATGGCTAATGGTGACCAACAGCACCTTTTAGTTTTACATTAAATGCCAATCACAAGACTTGCTAACTGATTGTCCATACATTGAAGGTGCTCTCTTTGAATTTCAAACACATGTAATAGGTTTTCTTGCACTGATTTTGTACAGCATACCTATCAGATTCAAAGGTCTGGACTATCCGCAACGAATATTGTCTTTATATATTCATGGTGCAATGATATTGAAAAGCGTATCTTTATTTCACTAAAATGTTTCTTTAAATAATTCACGACCCAAAAGAAACATTAAAATTCTGAAATGCAAGACAAATATTCGACAGCATGTCATTGGAGGAGTATTTCATTCAACTATAGTGAACGCGTTCTTTTTTAACCGAGACCCCCATTAGGTATATATGCACGATATTTATAAGAATTATTATCAGTATTAGTAATATGCCATAAGAAATGCATGTACTTCAATGCCTACAAATATTAGTTTCATTCCAGGTGGCCTACTGAATGTATTAGCCCCCCCAAGGCTGGAGAGCAAGTTATTGTTACATCGTCAGTGTCGCTACCTATTGGCAACGCCAGTTTGGTGCCATCTTCAGCAAAGGAGAAAGTGAACGCAAGTCGCAATTTGGGGAATAAGACGCAACCCCTCAAGTCATCTAAGGGGGAAATCACACACCTCGAGAATCAAGGTACTCTTTTCCGTTTTACACGCATTTTGCCAACTGCCATGCCAACAGTTTATGAATCAGTATCACCTGTATCAACATTCATGAAAATGGATTCGTTAACAACACCACATCAACAATTACTCCCCAATCAAAATACATCTTCAGACCTTCTCATGGTGTGGTCGCACTACACCGCAATCCCACAACCTTTAATGGATAAAATAGACACGTTTTTCAAGTTAAATTCGGAAAGAAATATAGTATTTGTGTGTGGCAGTAATGAATGTATGGATCAAATAGACGAAAAGTTACGGGAACACGCGAGAATACTACGGTTACGGTTGCCTGCGCTAGCAAAGGGTAGTCCTTTAGATGATTTCGTTTCCAAATCTGCAATTCTCAAATTGCTCATGGGCCGTAAATTTCAAGTGCTCATGCATGAAGTAAGTGTTTTACTATCACTGTGGACATTTGGTGGGCTGTACATAGATATACAGTCAATAAAGACGTCAAAAGTACCAGCTGAATATTTCAAGGATGAATGGATGGGTAATAAAAGTATATTTTCGATATCCAGATTTGAGCGACGCTCTCAGGTCATCAAAAATGCCATGGGTGTAATTCAGTCGGCTTACAGCAGTCACAATAGAAGTCAAATCCTAAAATGGGACTCTGATTCAATTTTGTGGAGTTCAAAGGTTTTGAACTACTTAAAGAAAAGGAAAATTGAAGTGGACCTTAGGAAACCTGTAATAAAGTCTTTGCAAGGTGGCCATTATGGGGTATTAACTCATGACAATCAAACAAAAGTTATCAACAACGGGGATGAGATTCAGACATTAGCAGCGCTACAATTTCTTCCTTTTGTCGACCGATTTGTGGACCGTGACACGTGGGACATCACGTGCATAGACACACATAAGCAGACGGACAATGTTGACATATTTGTAAATGTGACGGAAAACACTAGAAAGAGAAAGCATGATAACGAGACAATAACGATATTTCTAAACGCATGGTATAACGCCGGTGACATTATATGGCCCCCAAAAAGTAATCTGAATCCTTTAATACTATCAGTGTATTTTGGACCAAATTCCTGGAAGAAGCTATTTACTGAACCAGGCAAAAATTATCTAAAAGAACATGGTCCTGTAGGAGCTCGCGATCAGAGCACATTTCAAGTTTTACGAGATAAGAATATTCCAGTGTATATGTCGGCCTGTTTGACACTTTTGATTCATAATGGCAATTCAGACTTAAAAAGAGAGGATGTACTTGTCGTTGACGTGGATCGGCGAGCTGTAGAATTAATTGTTCCTTATCACATACGAAAATCGGCAATTACTGCCATTCATAACTTGCCCAGTTCGATGAAATTTGACATAATAGCGCGCTATGAAGCAGCAAACCATTTAATGGAACAATATTCACGCGCGAAACTGGTTTTGACGTCACGCATCCATTTTGCACTTCCATGCCTTGCCATGGAAATTCCAGTGGTTTTTGTAAAAACGGCGCTTTCACCTAAAGGAGAAAGGGATCGAACAGACGGTTTAACAGAACTTTTTCATACGGTTACCGTGGACAAAATGATGACGTCATACAAAGGGATGGAAAACTTCAATTGGGACAAACCAGAAATTAATCCAAATCGGGAAATAAGCATGCGGTTTCGCGACTCTATGTGGCAGGAGATACAAAAATTCCCAGCGTTGCGAGAAACGGCGATTACATTTGGGAGAGTACCTTTGAAAACAGGCAGTAGATTTAACCCTAATAAGCGCCCAGTGTTAACCTTCTTTCAGGTTTACACAACGAATGAAGTGACACGGTGGAATCGACGTTCACTCGAGAGTATTTTTTACCACCATCCCAATGCAAAAGTGCGCATTTTAAGCAACGCACTGTCACAAGCAAAGGTTTCTGCCTTCAATAAAGCAGGCTTCCATGTACAGGTCAGAAACTATACTCTGAGAGGCTTACTAAAGCGAATACAAAATTTGGAGCCTCGAACTTTTACAAATCCCTCAGAGGTGTTTTTGAAAAGATTACCAGTTATTTCCAAGGGATCATTTTGGTTTAGCCACGAAACTGATTTGATTAGGATAATAATGCTGTATCTATATGGTGGCGTTTATATGGACACTGACGTTATTTTAGTAAAAAGTTTACAGAATTTGTATAATGTAACTGCATGGGAAAACAAAGACCATTCGGCGCTAAATGGAGCTGTTCTCAAGTTTGATAAGCACAATCCTTTCCTCCGTGAGTGCATAAAAGAATTCTTAGATAACTATCAGCAGAATGTCTGGGGAGCGAATGGACCATTGCTCCTCACTCGCATGGCGAAAAAATATCCCACGTGGATATGTAATGTTAGCCGCGCCGAAGACGCACAAAAAGAAAAGTCCTGCATAGTTAGATGCTTATATCGGCAATCATTTTACCCAATACAGTTTCGTGAATTAAAAACAAAGTGTTTCATTGAAAACGGCACGTTTGATATGCAGCGTGCCTTGCTTTCAGAAGCTTTTGCTGTGCATTTGTTTCATCAATTTACAAAGAGTTATACAAAGACCACAAAGCCTGGAACGCTGTGTCGGTACCTACTTAACAATTTTTGTATTTTCTGCAGTGATTTAGTTTAACTAGTTATATTGCATGTACCCGATAAAAGACCGAGGAGGAGCTGCGTAGCTGTCCATCGGTACTCCTTTAGCGATGGTTAAGGCCACGGAAGACTGGTCTAGTGATGCGGTATTCCAACACATGAAGCCTTCGGCAGATATGAAATGTGATGTAGTGTTGAAAGCGATGTTGAGAGTTTGAACAAAAACGTAAATTCGACGTCCTTGTTTGAACTAGTGTTTATATTGTTATGACACGTAAATGCGCTGAAAAACAGTAACATCAGGCCTACCCAACTACCAGGCACCTAAGGATCCTGAATTAACCGGTATATCGGACCACACTACCCGTTTTCAAGGTGTGTGTCAGATCGCATTTCGGAGTATCATATCCCAGAACAAATTTTGTAGGACGACTGCGGGCTCATCCACGCTCGGCTACCCTAGGTTCTAGATTCCGGTATTGCCAGCTCGATCTTGATTTCATACATAACCCTAGTAAAAGCGACTCCATCACAAGGTATATATTTAACAAGCTAGCTTTTACGTTGCTCTGACACTCAGGGTACGCTCGGCTGAACAACCTTAAACAGTACTCTTACTTTAGAGTACTCTATTTCATTGTCTCTATGGGGGTATATGGGGCCTTTACGACATTCGGTTTGAATGTTTTAACCGCTTTTGATAGGGCTTTTTTGCATTGTATTAGATTAATGTGGCAGTTTAAGGTTCATCTAGGTGGCTTTCAAATTTATGCACCCGGTTTTAAAATCATATAGCGATTAAATACGACAATCGTTTACTATCCAATCAAGGTGACAGCCGAGCGTGGGCTCATCCTGTCGGTGTTCTGACTGATACTCCGAAGTGCGATCTGACACACACCTTGAAAACGGGTAGTGTGGTCCGATATACCGATTAATTCAGGATCCTTAGGTGCCGAGTCTGGTAGTTGGTTAGGCCTGAACATGTGACTGCTCCTAAAAGACAACCTCGTGGTCCACTGTAATGATATGCATATATGATATGAAGTGATATTTCTATACCCCCTCACCCACTCATACTCTGGATTAAGGATTTTGAACAGCTGCGCTTAGTAATATTGCTACCTGTATCTTTTAAAATACAGGTAGCAATATTACTTATAATAATAATAATAATAAACTTTTGTTTTTTTTTTAAACAAAAATAAACTTTTGGTTTTTTAAAAACAATATTTTAAAAGTGTTGCAATTCATTCACATATACAGACTTGACATTAATATGGAATATTTTTTCCAAATCTTTTTTCATCAGTTTTTTTTTTTCCTATTTTGCTGACTGATAAATAAAAATAAGGATTAAAATCGTGTTTATATAACTTTTAATTATCTCTTTAACGTCATTGTGACATCAGTTCATTAATTGAATTCGCCAGAGAGGCAAACAGAAACATATTGCCTATTCTATGTCATACGACAACCATTAAAAGTGATATTTTGGATCTCCATATTTTCCAAATTTATGTCTGTAAAAGAGTTACACGCTCCACAAAGGACCCTCATGTCAGTGTCTAGTCACAGTAACGGTCGCTGTTACGCCTGACCTCTTCTGGCTGCTACCAGCGCTCTCAAGTGGCAAGGCATTCCTTGGGATAGGTTTTTAGAGGTCAATCTGGAATAACATTTCAACCATCGGTCAAAATCTGTCCAATTTGGTCCAGTTTTGTTGTAGGACATGTAGGCCATGGATTTGGCGAGTAATGGCCTACCCACACATTGTCTATATGGTTCAAATATGGCGATTTTGATTACCAAGGTGGCTGCCCATTCCCTTGGTTCTGTAAGTAATTTGCTATGAAAAGTGCTCTGTGTGAATCGGCAATCTCACTGTGCAACCTAAAATTGTTCCTAAGGTGCCCCCTATCAAATGATAGTCAAGTGGTTCCCAGATTATTCCTTTATTTGATCTGGTTCAGGTTTTTGTCATTGGCTACAATTGGTGTTTTGGCACCAATGTGATATCCACTCCAAATACTGATGCTGTTAATGGCCTTAGTCACTAAAGGCGCGGCACACGCTTCGTCGTTGGCCTCTTCTGGGTGTCTGTAAACTCTGTTTTGACTAGTTGATCGGTACAGGTGAAATCTGACCTCAATAAAGAAAGCCACGAGATTTCAGTGTTCTACCCAGAAACGGTCAAGGTCCCCAATTCATTAGAGAGACATACAATGATGTTTTGCTGTTTACAGTGGGTTCCTCGGAGGTCGAATGGTATTCTAACCTGCTAAAATCAGTTTGGTTTTCCCTAAGGGCCCTATAAAATGCGTTTTGGTGGCAATTTACCCCTCATTCTGAACGAACTGGGTGGTTTTTGTTTAGTTGCAACAACATGTCCCGAAAGACAGTGTGTCCTGTACCCTGGTGGTAAGATTTCAATACATTGGGTGTGGCCTCTGTGTAGGTAATCAGTCTGGGCTTTACACTATAAAACTGTGCGGACCGTTTCGTTTGGCGCAATTATCTGTCTGGCAATGTCTCTCTTTTTCGCGCCATTCTGCCAAAGATTAACAAATTTGTAAAGCACTGCATAGCTAATTTTTCACATTGCATATCCGACCACTTGCATGCAAAATTTCAAATTCCTTTATGCAGTAGTTGCCGAGATATTGGTTACTTATGGTTATGGTGACAGAACCATGCTTTGCCAAATCCAAGCTTTGACCTGCCCAAAGGAGCACTACCCAATTAAATCACTTGATATTACATAATGCAGCAGCGCAACAAACCTGGTATTCAGTTAATTGGTAGCGACACACCTGGCTACACACTTCTCCATTCACATATCTTATATGAGATCGGAGTTTTTTGAAAAAAAGATCGCATTATTACCAAGGCGTACCTTCGAAACTGAAATATTCCATATTAAATGTCAAGTCTGTATGTTGATGTACTTTGTTTAAGTACATGTACATGTAGTTGCCTTTATTATAGTGTAACTTATAAATGTAGTTTTAATAAACTTCAAACTTTTTAAATAGTGCATGTATAAGACAATATCGGTCTTGAAAGTTTATTTTAAAAAACTAAATTTATAAGTTACGTACATTACTATAATAACGCTAACTACATGTACTTAAACAAAGTACATGTACATCAACACGTATGGAGGGGGCTGATATGAACTAACAATTGTCACATTGACCACAATGATGATAATTATAATGGCAATAATTGTAAAGATTTGTAGCTTCTGAAAGGACAATTTACAATTTGCGTGTAAAAAAACGATTAAGAAAACAATTTGCCAGGTAGCAACGGCTAATGTATGCAGTGCCCTATGGCTTTTATTTCTCTGTACAGCTTCCTTTGAGACTTTTGAAAAGGAATTTACGGTATATTTTTAAAGGAGATTTTATAACTGAGATATGAATCATAGTAGCTTGGTGAAGCTATACTAAATCTCAGCATAAAACAAACTCATAGTAAATAAGTTATCTATCTAGGAACGCCCCCGGTCGGCTTCTCAAACAAGACCTCGTATACATCATGTGCTTCAAAGTTAATGATAAGACCATGTTCAGGGACAGGCGTTGCGCGGGATGAAATGCATATGTACGGCCCCCGGGTTATTGATTGTAATTGCAGATATATACATGTACATCCAAACTGACCCTATTTTTGACAAGGAATAAAGTTTCCATTTGATCTACAGCCTACCAACGAAGCTTCTGAGGCTCCGTAGTTACTCCGCTGTCGTGGACACAGCTAGACTCTGGCTCGTATTCTAGAATGTAATATTTTCGCTAGATTGAATTTGAAATGAACAAAAATGCGAACATGGCAAGAAATACATGCAAAAGAAACGCCCCGCCTCCCCCCCCCAAATAAATAAGAACTTTTGCAAAAAACAATTCGATTTTCAATTCATATTTTTTAAAGGATTTTGGCTCAGCATAGAGTCCCACTCAGAAAATTTGAAGTAAAACAAAAATTAATACTTCTTGGCACTTATTGGGCAAGCATCGTCAAAATACATGCAAAAAAGATTTTTAAAAACATCACAAATACAATAACTTTTGTCAAAGTAACTCGATCTTGCTAATTTACGAAATGGAACCTGCCATTAAATCAAACCAAATTGCAAGTTTGGAGTAAAACAAAAACACAGTTTGCAAATAAAACTTTGCGATAAATTTTCTTTTTTAAAAAACATTTTGTTTATACTAATAACATTCCTTAGGCTTAATCGACAACACGTATCGAAATGCAGGTCAAACTGCGTTTTGAACCGAGTCATTTATCTTTGCTGATAAAAAACGCCAGCACTAAAAGACCTTACGTAACCTTGTCTGCCATTCAAATAATGCACACACTCCCTCTTCATTTGTTAATTCACTTCGACTACAACTCGACTTTTTGGGTTGGTTCTGATGTCATTCGCCTTATAATACATATATAATACAAATCAAGCGAAAAACTAGAATTAGCAATTTTAGTATACATTATTGACACCAGGAAACTTTGCATACTGGGTTGGAAAAAACGAGGCACAGTACATGTAACAGCTAGTGAACTATTTTCTACTCCCATGGTTTCACTTTGAAATCTGCACGTACTGGTAGGCCATATGGACAATGATAAATGGCATCTGTTTATGATTATTGGAGGGACCAGATTTGCTCTCCCAAATGCAATTAGAAAGGGAACCATTGAAGATGCAGCAACATGAGAGGATTTTTTAAATGGAAAGAGCTTTGTGATTAGTCATATATGTTCCACTTTATGTTATGACTTTTTTTGACAAGAACAAGGACATAAATATCAAATATTCGAATTGCTGTCGGTGACACAAATTTCATCCAAAGACATCAAAACCACGATGACAAATAGAAAGGTGAGTATTGATCTAAAACTGCTGTAACACTAAAAATTAATTTTTTACAACTATTTTCTTTTTGGCAGATAAGTCAGTAACTTACATTTGAATTGAAATACGCATGATATATTTTATATAAAAAATACATTTAATTTAATTTGTCTTTTTAAATTTAAAATGTTTAATTTAATTTAATTTATATTTTTAAATGTAGGCCTAAACGTATTCCTAAATTGCTGGCTGTCTGATAAATAATATGACGGGCAGACGTCGAGTCTACGGCATTTGAACATCTTTAAGGATACTGTAACCTTTTATTGTCATCCAGATACCGAAAATGAGTTTTTTGCTTGAATCTAAATATTTAATAATGCATCTATCTATGTGCTAATGTAAAACATTGAAAAAAGCCGCGAAAATATAAAATATCAGCATTTATATTTTTCCGTTGCAATGTATAAGCATAAGCAACTCAAAGCTTTAATCGTCAATTAAACCTCTTTCTATTTTGTAGTGAGATAGCAATCGGTATGTGGCGGTACGTCATCACTAAATAAGATTTTATCACGAAAATTGGCAGAGTTGACCAGGAGTGTTGAAGTTTTTTTTTTTTTTTTTTTTTTTGTTAAAAAGTTTTTGTTATGGAGTTATGGGCCACTAATTGCAGATTTTCATTAAACAAAGGCATCATTTTGCTTTATCAACGATAAAATCTGAACTAAGACTTAAGAAAAATCACTGACAGGGTTTTGGAGTATTAAATGGTGTCATTACATTGGCGTTAAAACGGTGATAGTGGATGCTCAGGTAAAAGAGAAATGTGAGAAACCGATTTATCAGTCGTAATTATGACGTCACCCGTAAGATGATATATGTGTAAATGTTAATTAATGTAGTCACTGAACACCTAGGATCCATTTATTACCCCAAAAAATGTATGTAAGGCAGTAAATAAGATGTTTCGGGCGAAGGGTGACAATTAATGTCCTTAAGCTAACTTTCCGAGACTATTTGGATATCTTCAGATTTAATATTTTCATTTCGGTATGTCGACTCCTCCAGAAAGCCTCCTATTGTGCCCAACGTACTCGTATAATCCTCAGCTTTTCTTTTCCCTAATTGAAAACAAGAGCATGCATTAATCTGTTAATGTGACTGAATTCAGCAAGATTCCCCGCTGAGTTGGATCGGTTTAGGTAGAACGATATAGTTTCATTGGGAATGAGCTTTTCAGTCATCTATATCACATGTTTTTTTCACATAAAGGAAACTTTTAAAAATCTTATATCTAAATATTAATTGTACGCCCAGATTTGGATTTATAAAATGCCATTTGTTTCAGTAAGTGCGTCACCATATTTTGGGGAGGTGCAGTTATGATAAGCTACAAAACGAACCTCCCTTATCTATGTGGCAAAACGTCCGAAGTTCAAATTATGGGCCCATTCTATTTCACTATAGAAGTGTTGGTTAAATATTATTGTAATGGCCAATTCGCTTGTTCGAATAATGATGCATTGGGGAGCCCCGAAAGTTGGGTGTAAATTGATTTCGGTCATTTATCTTTTCATGAATTTTTGTTGTTTTAACATTAAAATGTTTTAAAAATTCAAGTGATGGATGGTAATATCTGGTTTATAACTACTGCCTATAACTCCACAATTATATTTAAAAATGTCCAAATTTTTTTAGGGAACCCACGCTCGATTCATATGTATTTTAACGTATATCTAAAAGACTTCTAACATAATTTATTGGCGTTATAGACATAAGTACTCAGGGTTTTAGTCCGGCTCCATGTTCTGTCGACGGATACAAGTCCCCGTTACCGCTTCTCCTAGACTACAGGGACCTCTGTTCCCATCTCTTGGCATTAGGTCACATAAAATTCAGCTTGTTCCCCATGGGTTTTGGTCTTTGACGGTGCAATCGCCTAGGCGTGACACTCATCGCAGCGCACCCTTTTTGAAAATTAAATGCGTTATAACTCCCACACCGAAGGAGTTTTGGGAATAAGATATTACAGAAGTTTGACCGAAAATCATATGTGGAGATTTCAAATATGCCGTTGGATTTGACTTTTGATCTTCATTCATGGTCAATGAAAACGGGCCAAAATTTTGTTAAAATTTAAATTTTCTGCTAAAAAAAATTATTTGTGCCGATTTCCAGCATCTACAGACACTTATGCTTTACATTATGGTGATGAACCACATCATGTGCACTTGGGGTCTCCTTTCTTGGGATATTAAACTGTGACCTTCAAACACAAATATAATGTTGAATCAAGGTCGTCTGGCTCTATTAAATATATTCCTGGAGAAAAACCTATATGAACACAGCGGCGACACCGCCGCCAGATATTGCACCACGAAGCTGCACCATTCGGCTGCATTGGGCGCATTCAGCAAAGCGGACTAACTAGTCCGCAGATCAAATATGGCCGATCCGCTTAAATGCTTGTTGCGTAATGCCCGAGGGGAATCTATTCAGCGTCTATTAGGGAATTAATTTTTCATGAACACATCCCCATTTTTCATTAGCACCAGAACTTTTATTTTAGAAAGGTTAACCGGTAGACTCCAGTCTTCGCGCGACATAAGCGTTAAAATCATATTTATAAAACTTTCGATGTCTTGCGTGATTTTTTTACATTCTAGGGTTATACCATGTAAGATACCAGTAAATCAATATATTTCACTCGCCACACTTACAGTGTCGCTTGGCTTTTTTTCCCCAAGTATTGTATATTTATTTTTTTCTGTCAGCAAACATTTAAGCGACAATCAATCAAAAAGCCAGACAGTTGTATTTACCTAACTTGGCACGTTATCATTTATACGCAACAATCTATTCTGCATTAAGAAAAGGCTTATCTGTTACTATTGAAAGGCCGTTTTAGGTTCCCTTAATTAATTTTAAGAGATAGAAAAGCGACGTTAAAAAAACCTATATTCAAAAGACCTTTCTTTTTAACGCAAGTGTTACTTTTCGTATCCCACGAAATTCTTTGAAAAATAAAAATGATTACCTCGTAGCTCGTACAACCTGCGCCTACATGACAATAGGGGGTAACAGAATTTTTAAGCATATCAGTTCATTAGTTCTTCTCATGTAAAATTGTTTAGTCTCTAATATCAATAATATCTTTGCAACGAGCTACGTTTTAATCTTAGAGAATCATATTAAATCAGTTTTGATACACATCTTGAATATAATGTTAATTAGTTCAGCAGACTTATTACTAATTAGATCAAATGAAATGGCTGCAACCAGCACATTTAGCAGAGTTATTCCCAGTGATTTTGTAAAAAAACAACCCCCACAATCAAAATTCTAAATAGCAAGTAAATTATTTTATGACATTTTTGTATAGCTGGGGAAAGATTTCCAAAATAAAACCCAGATAATTTCACAAATGTATTCACCCATGGCAGTCTCTTTTAAGGCCAAAGTCCAAGATGACGGACAATGGACGACGTGGAATATCAAGAACAAAAATAAATAAATTAATTAATAATAAATAAATTAATAAATTAATTTAATTTAACAAAAAATAGCGGTACAAAAATCGACTAAAACCATTAATTGAAGAAGGCTGCTGAGAAGACTGCTGTTGTTCAGGGTCGGAGAGAGCAGATGCTGTCGCTGCTGCCGTTGCTGGAGATATGATATAGGAGATATTGGCCAGGCAATGTACAACATGTACCTGAGACAAGGGGAGTCTAAATCTCTCTTCAAAGGGAAAGTTCATTAGCAGAAAAAAGGGGGAGGGGCTGTCGCTGACACGGAGTAACTACATATCATGGCTTTCTTTTTCTTTTCTTTTTTCTTTTTTTTTTTCTTTTTTTTTTTTTTTCGCTTTTATAGATGACGACCGAAGTGTGTAGACGCTGGAAGTGGACAACCGCACTGCTGCTGCTATTCGGGGTTACATCATTAGTTTACACATTAATGTATCAGTATGCAGGTAAGCGACTGGTGTGGGTATACCATACCGTTTGTGGTATCTATAACAGTTGATATCGTACTATATTAACATCTTATCCCGAAGAGCGTTAACGTTTCTAAATCACCCTGAAGACAACATGAATTGCTGTTGGAAATATGCATGTGCCTTGAACTTTCTAAAAAAAAAATGTAGAAATATTCGCAACTGGAAATATCTACGGGGAAGCATGAATCAACACATTCTTTTTTTAGAATACTCCATTGTTTTTAGTAAGAGTTTTGAAGTTAAACTTTTTTTGGTTTTGGACTTTTCTGTTCGACCAGGACAGCTATCCTTTCTATCTTAATGGTATACGCTGCATCAAATAATGCAAAACGTTTCTTGGATTTTCCCTTAAATGCTTTATTGTTTTTATCTATTACTTCAGGGGTAGGGAAAACTAATGATTGCATTTTATTCAACTATAATTAATTAATTAATTAATTAATTAATTAACACCGTGACCCCCTTTGCACCTTCATGATATTTATACTAGTTGATATTGGTTGGTGCACCTGTCCTAAGAGTCGAGTTGCCATGCCATAGGTCCTATAGTAGAACCTTGCAATGAATTTCCCTGCAAACTTTCTATTACAGAAATGCTTTTCTTAGGACTAGAGAAGTAAAATTAGCTTGGTTGCTACTTTCGAGACATTGAGCATTTTTAATGTGGCCTTCATTTTGTGAGGGAAAATAGAAATACAGCCCGAAGTCAACAGGTATACTTGTAAGGTATACTGTAAAAAAAGGTTACAGGAAAGAACATTGCAGTGATAGCGTCCAGGCAACTTGACTAAGACATACTTTGGTGTCTACAAAAATTAGTTTCATTCTAGGTGGCCTGCTGAATGTTCAGGCCCCTCACCGGGCTGGAGAGCAAGTTTCTGTTACAATCCCGCTGTCGCTACCTATTGGTAACGCCAGTTTGACCCCATATTCAGCAAAAGAGAAAGTGAGCACAAGTCGCAATTTGGGGAATAAAACTGCCGGTGTACTAACCCCCATCCAAACTGGAGAACAAGTTACTGTTACACCGTCCGTGTCGCCACCTGTTGGCAACGCCAGTTTGGTCCCATCTTCAGTAAAAGAGAAAGTGAACGCAAGTCGCAATTTGGGGAATAAGACTTCCAATGTTCCAACCCCCCTCCAAGCTGGAGAGCAAGTTACTGCTACATCGTCAGTGTCGCCACCTATTGGCAACGCCAGTTTGGTCCCATCTTCAGTAAAAGAGAAAGTGAACGCAAGTCGCAATTTGGGGAATAAGACTTCCAATGTTCCAACCCCCCTCCAAGCTGGAGAGCAAGTTACTGCTACATCGTCAGTGTCGCCACCTATTGGCAACGCCAGTTTGGTCCCATCTTCAGTAAAAGAGAAAGTGAACGCAAGTCGCAATTTGGGGAATAAGACTTCCAATGTTCCAACCCCCCTCCAAGCTGGAGAGCAAGTTACTGCTACATCGTCAGTGTCGCCACCTATTGGCAACGCCAGTTTGGTCCCATCTTCAGTAAAAGAGAAAGTGAACGCAAGTCGCAATTTGGGGAATAAGACTTCCAATGTTCCAACCCCCCTCCAAGCTGGAGAGCAAGTTACTGCTACATCGTCAGTGTCGCCACCTATTGGCAACGCCAGTTTGGTCCCATCTTCAGTAAAAGAGAAAGTGAACGCAAGTCGCAATTTGGGGAATAAGACTTCCAATGTTCTAACCCCCCTCCAAGCTGGAGAGCAAGTTACTGCTACATCGTCAGTGTCGCCACCTATTGGCAACGCCAGTTTGGTCCCATCTTCAGTAAAAGAGAAAGTGAACGCAAGTCGCAATTTGGGGAATAAGATGCAACTCCTAAATTCAACTAAGGGGGAAATCACACATTTCGAAAATCAAGGTTCTCTTTTTGGTTTTACACGCCTTTTGCCAACCGTCATGCCAACAGTTAATGAATCAGTATCACCTGTATCAACATTCATGAAAGAGGACTCGTTAACAACACCACATCAACATTTACTCCCCAATCAAAATACATCTTCAGACCTTCTCATGGTGTGGTCGCACTACATCGCAATCCCACAACCTTTAATGGATAAAATAGACACGTTTTTCAAGTTGAATCCGGAAAGAAATGTAGTATTTGTGTGTGGCAGTAGTAAATGCAGGGATCAAATAGACGAAAAGTTACGTGAACACGCGAGAGTACTACGGTTACGGTTGCCTGCGTTGGCAAAGGGTACCCCTCTAGATAATTTTGTTTTTGAATCAGCAATTCTCAAATTGGTCATGGGGCGTAGATTTCAAGTGCTTGTGCATGAAGTAAGCGTTTTGCTCGCACTGTGGACATTTGGTGGACTGTACATAGATATGCAATCAATAATGACGTCAAAGGTACCAGATGAATATTTCAAGGGTGAATGGGTGGGTAATGAAAGTATATTTTCGATATCCAGATTTGAGCGACGCTCTCAGGTCATCAAAAATGCCATGGGTGTTATTCAGTCGGCTTACAGCGGTCACAATAGAAGCCAAATCTTTAAAATGGACATTGATTCAATTTTGTGGAGTTCTGAAGTTCTAAGCCAGTTAAAAAGTAGGAAAATTGAAGTGGGCCTTAGGGAAGCAGTATCAAACTTTTTGCGAGGTGACCATTATGGGGTATTAACCCATGACCATCGAGCAAAAGATATCAGCGCCGGAGATGAGATTCAGACATTAGCAGCGCTACAATTTCTACCTTTTGTCGACCGATTTGTGGACCGTGACACATGGAACGTCACGTGCATAGAGACACCTGCACAGACGGACAATGTTGGCATATTTGCCAATGTGACAGAAAACAGTAGAAACAGAAAGCGTGATAACGAAACAATTACCATATTTCTAAACGCAAGGTATAACGCCGCTGACCTAATATGGCCTCCAAATGATAATCTTAATCCTTTAATGTTATCGATGTCTTTTGGACCAAGTTCCTGGAAGAAGTTATTTACTGAGCCAGGCAAATATTACCTGAAAGAACATGGCCCTGTAGGAGCTCGTGATGAGAGCACATTGAGAGTTTTGCGAGAAAAGAATATTTCTGTGTACATGTCGGCCTGTTTGACACTTTTGTTGCAAAATAGCAATCCAACTGTGAAACAAGAGAACGTCCTTGTCGTTGACGTTGATCAAAGAGCCTTAGAATTAATTGTTCCATACGACATACGAAAAACAGCGATTACTGTTACCTATAACCTGTCAAATTCGATAAAATTTGATAGATTAGCACGCTATGAAACGGCACACCGTTTAATGGAACAATATTCACGCGCAAAACTGGTGTTAACGTCACGCATCCATTTAGCACTTCCATGCGTTGCCATGGGTATTCCAGTGGTTTTTGTGGAAACGGCGGCCTTATCTGAAGGAGGTGGGAATCGATCAGAAGGTTTAACAGAACTTTTTCATACAGTAACTGTGGACAAAATGATGCAATCATACAAAGGGTTGGCAAACTTTAATTGGAACAAACCAGAAATGAATCCAAATCGTGTTTTAAATATGCGCTTCCGCGCAACCCTGTTGCAGGAGGTAAGAAAATTCCCAGCGTTGCGAGAAACGGCGATTACAATTGGGAGAATACCTTTGAATACCTTCAGTCAATCTAACCTCAATGAAAGCGCTGTGTTGACGTTCTTTCAGGTTTACACAACGGCTGAAGTGACGCCATGGAATCGACGTTCACTCGAGAGTATTTTTTTCCACCATCCCAATGCAAAAGTGCGCATTTTAAGCAATGCACTGTCACAAGAAAAGGTTTCTGCCTTCAGTGAAGCAGGCTTCCATGTACAGGTCAGAAACTATACTCTGAGAGGCTTACTAAAGCAAATACAAAATTTGGAACCTAGCACATTTACAAATCGCTCAGAGGTGTTTTTGAAAAGATTGCCAGTTATTTCAAAGGGATCGTTTTGGTTTAGCCACGAAACTGATTTGATAAGGATAGCATTGTTGTATTTATATGGTGGCGTTTACATGGACACTGACGTTATTTTAGTAAAAAGTTTACAGAATTTGTATAATGTAACTGCATGGGAAAACAGAGACCAATCCACTTTAAATGGAGCTGTTCTCAAGTTTGATAAGCACAATCCTTTTCTCCGTGAGTGTATTAAAGAATTCTTAGATAACTATCAGCAGAATGTCTGGGGGGCGAATGGACCATTGCTCCTCACTCGCATGGCGAAAAAATATCCCTCGTGGACGTGCAATGTTAGCCGCGCCGAAGACGTACAAAAAGACAAGTCCTGCGTCGTGAGACGCTTATATCGGCAATCATTTTACCCGATGGAGTTTCATGAATTAAAAACGAAGTGTTTCATTAAAAACAGCACGCTTGACCTGCAGCGTGCGGTGCATTCGGAATCTTTTGCTGTGCATTTGTTTCATCAGATTTCAAAAAGTTATACGGAGACCACAAAGTATGGGACGCTGTGTCGGTACCTACTTAACAATTTTTGTATTTTCTGCAGTGATTTAGTTTAAATAGTTAGAATGCATGTATAAGACATTTAATGGAGGGTACTGATATAAACCGGTGGCACTATTTAATAATTGTCACACTGACCACAGTAATGTTTTTATTATAATGGCAATAATTGTAAAGATTTCTTGCTTTTGAAAGCACAGTTTCGAATTTATGTGCAATATTTACTACTTAAACGTCTTGCCAGACCAAACTGGGGGTACGCTAAAAGTAAGACTGGACCAGTTGATCACTGTTCAAACATTGCGATACAAGGAAAAGTATATTTAAAATATACGAAAAAAATGAAGGTTTGTCCCTTTTTCTGCAATGTTTTTTTTAATGGAGAGCATTTCACGTCTTGGACCTTAATATGAATATAAAAAGAATACGGGCGTCCTCATCTCAAACGGTTAAACCGTTTTGCTATTTTCCTCGGTGAAAATGCTCTGGAGACACTTCATAACACCAAGTTATAAAAACACACCACGTGCTTGCTCCATAATAGAATATTTTTGCGAGGACAATTCTTTTGAACTGGCAACGCCAATGAATGCAAAGCACTCTGGCTTTTATTACAGCCTCCCCCGAGACTCTTAAAAAGGAATTAAAGGCATATTTCAAGAAATATTTAAAAAGATTTTATAACCGAGATATGAATAAAATTGCTTTAACCAATTTTCTCATTTTCTTTATCTTGTATGCTACCTTGTTACGATTATTGAGCATATTTGAATTTCAAAACTATAAATTATTATTGTTTATATACACCTCAGCTTTTTAGAATGTATACTGCAAAGAATTTAACAAAGGAAGTAAATAATATACTCAAGTTTATTGCATAATAATAAAGGTGTATAATCTTCACCTCCAGTTATTTCTATGTATCATTTCAGTAATGTGTGTGAAATTCATGTGTTAAGTGCTGTATGACAGGAAAGTAATGGAAAAATTAATTCTAAACTCTGGAAAGACTGCCTGAAAAATTTATCCAACTGGTGTCATCTGACTCAAGGAGGTTAGTGCCCTTCTGCCCGCTGATGACACCAGTTAGACTGATCTTCGGGCTCAGTTGGTCCAGTCTGAACACAGGTTAACTAAAACATAACTTAACATATTTCAAAGATACTTAAAACTATATTCTACTTTTCATAAAAAAGTGCTGAATTCCAATAAATATGTTAATATGACTAGCAGGGATACAACGGATATCAGTATGATAACCCAGTTTGCTTGGATAATTTAATAATATTTGAGGTGCAAATTGAGTGTCACTGTCACCACGGGCACATTCAAAAGTAATATAATTTAAAATAAGTCAATCTGGAAGAGGATAATATCCCATGGAATCAGGCTTCTCTCTGATTAAGCTTATCCCTGAAAAAGTTGACACCCCACTTGTAATTTGCTAAGCAGATATATTATGACAGAGGGCCATACTTGGGGGGGGGGAGATTAAAATCCCTTCCAAAACAATTAGATAATCTTGTATGACCATTAATATTCCACCCATAATTTCACATTTAGTTCACATTAAGAATGCACCCACATTCCCCATCACTTTCCCTATTTGTTAAAATCAGTACATGATCAGTGCAAGCAATATCTCCAATAGTCAGCCTCATTATCATTATATCTGGACATCTAACAATGACTCATAAGACATCTTGCCAGAAATCCTTCATGACTTAATCAGCACATTAACCAAGTTAACTTTTTTACATTGCCTACTTTAATTTTACATGCATATAAATATATGAAAGCACCTAATGTATTAAATTATCTCTTAACATTATGTCATTACATATAAGCTTTAATCACTATAATTTGGCACTATTATAAACAGTCAAATGTCTATAGAGGCTATAAGAGGTAATGTATAAAATAAACTATATTTTGCCTTAGCAGCAACTATCTACATAAACATGATTGCGTTTAAGTACAATGACCTATAATGAACATTTTGGCCATGTTCTGATTGGTGTGTCCAATCATATTTCTGGTCCATTAAAAATTGTCCTAAAAGGATGCTCTACCATCAGGGCCTTGAAACAGAGAGAGAGACATCAGAAATAAAATACATATGACAAAGATACATTCTACATGAAATGAAAGATGAGATAAGAACAAAGACTATTGCACAAACCCTATACTGGAAAAATTCATTGATGGGTCAGGGACAAAAGTAAAATCAGATCAGAGAGGGTAAACAGAGAGAAATGGAGATTTGGAAGGCTTGATGTCTAGTTTCTGGGAGCCTGAAAGGTGCTGAGTATTTATAAGAGAGCTAATGAGTTGGCAGTCTTCAAAAACATATGCATCATCATCATCAAAAATCACTTCAATTTTTTTTCATTTTTACTTAAGTGTCCATCATGAAATCAGCAGCTGCCAACAAATAAGAATAGCCCTAGTGTATAAATGAATGTACCATTTTTGAAGATTCCTTTGCATATATTGGAAATTTATTGTCCCAATTTATTGTGTGGGGGGAAAGGGAGAGATGGAGAATGGACAGGGCCCACTAATGATGTTGGTCCTTCAATATATATAATACTAAGTGGCTGCCAGGCACTATAGAGGGAGTGACAAGTACATAGCTCAGTGGCGTTTGATTCGACTGATTTTCTTGCTCTTGTCATTGGTCTTTGGTGGAGGAGCTGCCCCAGCTGCTATGTGTCTACCATATAAACTGGAAATAGACAATAAATTAAAAAGTATACCTCAAAATCTTATACTCATGTTTGATTTAATAAAATACATGCATGCATGAAAACACGAGAGAAAGAGAGATCCATAATAATTCATCTAAACTGATTCATGTAAGAGTGTAACTCTTATGGTCTGACCCCCTAAAATAAAAAAAATAATAAATTTCATTTAGCAATGAATGCCATTACCCCTCTCCCCACCCACCCAAAAAAAAAAAAGAAAAAAAAAAAAATAGCCATCTGCCTCTGCTTGCTGAGTAATACCAGCAACATAGCAGTTGCACTACAAGATATGACTATACACATGCAGATGAACTTACATATCTGAAGACACTTCTTGCAATAGGCACTTATATAACACTGACTATCACAACAAATGTCTTGAAATACATAAGTAGGACCTTGGCATCTTATAAACTGATGATCACCTCACTCTACAGCATAGTAAGAATAGCAGTGTCTTAAGAAATCAAAGGATTTTTTTTCTTTTTGAAATATTACAACAAAAAAGCAGCAAGGCATCAAAGAAACTTTACAGAAAAATATACAGAAACGAGGATTAAACACTGACTTAACATATTGTAAAGTATGAAACCATAACAAGTTAAAATATATTCACAAGTTGATTGTCCTAAACTCATTTAAATATATTACAATGCCCCATCTGTTGAAGTCAGAGAGGCAATACACAAAATGTTTGCTCTCCTTCCAACATCTCTCTCTCTCTCTCTCTCTCTATTTCTCACACACACACACACACACACACACACTTACTATTTGTATGTGTCTGATCTGATATAATCAAACACATGTGATGTGCCCACTTGGAACTGATCTGCAATGGGAGGTACCCAAGGATTATTCTCTGCCTTGAACACTTGCTTCATACCAACTAAATCAAGGTTTCCTGGGGAAAATAATCAGGCAATCAATACATGGAATGCAATAAGATATTTTTTCTCCTGTGCATGATATTAAATTTACAATCAATTTAATAGTGTAAAGTGGGGCATTGGTAATAGATTTAAAAATGACCTGGACTGGCCATTTTTCACAACATTTGACCTAGATCAGCAGTAAAATGCTATCAAACTTTAGATTAAGCATTATGGCACACAATGGAAAGAATTAGAAGTGAATACACACACAAAAGGTCCAAAATACTAGTTTTGAGACAATATCTGAATGAATGAATGGAAAATGCCAGTTAGCAATGGGCTCAAACTATTGGAAAGGTGATCAATATTAATTTTAATGGAGTTAGCTTTATCAATATGTCACTCTTTCACATTTGAAATTATTATAAATTTCAGCTCTGAAAATAACAACATTTTGTTTCTATATTCCACAATGTGTCAGCTCACCTAATTCTGGGGGTAGAACGGTGAGTCTATTGCCCTGGATGTGGAGTTCCTTCAATCTGCTCAGTTCTCCCAGCTCCTTAGGAAGGGCAGTCAGGTCATTATCTCTCAGAGCAAGCTGAAAACACAGTACAGTTATTGTTCAAAAAACTTGAACAGAACTGATTATTTTAAAATATGTATCCATAGGTTTCATCTATGATTCCTTATATTTGGATTGAAAATTGAAAAGGAGATATTTTTCTTTGCCTAGAATTTTTCTATCCTGAAAAAAAAAGTTTGGTCTCACCAAGTTGTTTGAAATTACTTTCTTTTTTTCAATCTGCTAAACATTACTATTCAAAAGCCAATATTTCATTTATCTAAATACTTAATTGAAAAATTAAGTCATGAAGGGTCCTTGCAAATATCATGTGTTCAGAAATGTTATTGAAAAGTCACTTACAATTTGCAGATTTTTTAACCGGCCAAATTCTGCTGGCAAAACTTCAAAATCATTATCACTCAAATAGAGTACCCTTAGTGTCTCTGAAAAAAATACACCCAACTTCAAAATTAACAAAGAACAACCGTAAAAACAAGCTACAGCAAATGAGAGATGGCAATGAAATTTTCATTGTTCAGTGTGTTATTGAAATTATGACATATTGCTACAATTTTTTAGCTTAAAGATATTTGGTCTTACTAATGACAGTATCAAAATACATACTTCCAAAATATAATTTCAACTTTCATCTTTAAGCAAGATCATTTCTCGGCACTGAGCTCTCTATTATCATTCCTACTGACAGTTTCTCACCCAAGCAGAAGAAGTTTGAAGGCAGGTTTTCTTCGTTCAAGTTGTTGTATGTCAGATCTAGGACTTCCAGCACTGGGAAGGCACCAAAGCCGCGGGGTAAGGTGCTCAGTCTGTTCATTCTGAAATCAGTTTTATTTGAGGAATATTACTATGAAATGATCCATTAACAATCTGTTCTATTTGTCTTTACAGCAGTGATATCGGACTTTTTAATAGGTTGTCTGGGACACTGCTTTAATCAAGATTTTTTGGTGGTTAAACGGCTTGAAAAATGTTCAATGTTCAGAGATCGCTGTATTGATTGGCAGATTTGAAAAACAAAACTACTACATTGAAATACATATCAGAACAAAACTTTAATCAATGTACTATTAGTATACAAATAATGTCAAATACTTTTAACATCATCTTTGATTTTGTACAAAAAAGTGAATGCATTAATGTAGAATCTACTTACGCCAAGTTCAACAATTTAAGTTTTGGCAAGGAGCTGATAGAAGTTGGCAGTTCCTCAATATGATTGTTAAAGAAGTTGAGATTCTCAAGATTCACCAGCTCTGCTATACTGGGAGGTACAACTGTAACATAGTTTACACTTATTGTAAGCAAAGATAAGACGTGAACAAGAGGAAACAAATCATAAATTGAAATAAGGCTGCAAATAGTGCTTTTAAAATTATGACTTTTACAAATATTTTCAATTACTGTTACTTAAAGAAAACTTTGTGATAAGGCTAAATAAATTTTTCTGAAACATTTTGTTTAATTACCCTGGAAATCTTACCTAGTATTTTGTTGTGGCTCAGAGTAAGTCTGGTCAGATGTTTCAAATTAACTGTGTATAATAAATGAATAATTAAATCAGTTATGTGTATATTTTTACTGTCACTAATGCAGATTACAACAAAATGATTAAATGATTTGAAGAACAATTGGACTCCCTAGAAGTATTATCACACAAACCTGTTTGATGAAGCAGAAGAGTAATAAGTAGTTTTTACCTGTACATCTACTAGTCAATTTGGGAACAAGCGGAAAGAAACGCGTATGTGTGCAACTCTGTGCATGCGTGTGTGTGTGGTGCGTGTGTGTGTGTGTGAGAGAGAGAGAGAGAGAGAAAGAGAGAGAGAGAGAGAGAGAGAGAGTGAGAGAGAAAGAGAGAGCACTCACACAAACCAGGAACTTCTCCAAGATTTATAATTCCTCTTTCCACCAAATCTATTTCTGGGTCTTTTCGTTCATCGTTATCCTCTATCACTCTTTTCAGCTTCGACATTTTTGCAATTTTATTCCAAATTTGGTGTTTGTAGGAGTACGCCTTACACCGGAAGTGCCTTGGAACGCCAATTTGAGGTACGGATATCCATTCGCCTTTTGAAAAATAGAACACAGGTAATGTCAAATTATGCTTTTTTATTTTACTCAACTTTCTACTAGATTTATGTAAAAGGTTTTCGCTTCTTTTGAGCTGTAATTAATAATATATCCAATTTTATTATAAAAATCCAGAGCTCTCCACTGCGGAATAATTTTATCCTTTAGAAAAGTAGTACAGCGCACCTAACACAATGATTCAGATTGGCTATCATCCACGATTTTCAATGAATAAAGAAAGAGGCCCCCTCCCACACCCCACACCCCTCGGGGGCTTCGCCCCCTCGTGTCTGCTTACTGCCCCCCCCCTGGCATTTTGCTCAGGCTACGGCCCTGTCAATAGGTATATTTCTGTTATCTGTGAGCACGAGGGTGTCTGTGAGAGCAATTTTTAATCTCCCGAGATGTGTGATCCGTATGCAGCTTTTCATTTTTCGAACTTCGTGAAACTAAATCATCATAGGCCTACTCGGTGATTCGATTTTAAACTTGCATTCAACGAGATTTGAATAAATTTCATTTGCTGTGAATTGTGAATTGATGATTTTTTTCTTCGTGAACAGTTATCCCTATCCCTCTCCCCTATAGGACCCTATAGATAGGCCAAAATGAAACGAAAGTAAAGAAAATGATATAGGCCTATAACTAACACCCCATTTCCATAGATTTTTAGATCGATCTATCCCTGTGGGGAGTCTCACTAGATTACTGTCAGCTTGGCCGGCTTAAGCGTCTGTCCCGCCTACTAAAAGCTGTAAGGGGGTAATTAAATATGGTGTCCGCTCGGCTGACTGCCTGAACCCCCAGCCTGAACCCCCAGCCTAGGGAGTTAGGTCTAAAACTTAATCTTTAGATCGATCTAAATCTCTGGGAAAGCACCCTAAGATACAAAATCAACTAAAAACTCACATTTGATTATGCCATCAAAGTTCACATTTGTAAAAAAAATAAATAAATAAATAAATAAAAAAAGACTGGTCAATTGAAAATAAAAATCAATCAGAACCCTCGAAATTAAAACAAGGAAGGGGAAACGCACGGAGTCCAGTGGTAGGCCTTTTTACTGACACTGACAGCTCGGACTACCGTTTTAAACATTTCTATGTTCTGAAACTCCGCCACGTTGAACAAGAAAAAAAAAACTAATTATGTTTGACTCTCTTCTACATGTAGGAATAGCTTACTCGGTGCTTACCGATAATAATAATAATAATAATAATAATAATAATAATAATAATAATAATAATAATAGGCTTCAGTGGCGGATTTAGAGGGGGGTCCTGACCCTCCTTCGATTTCTTGATAATTAAAATTTTGACTATAGCTGGATCATAGTTCTAAACAGTACCAAATGGCACCGTTCGCCCTCCAAAGTAGGCCCTACCAAATTTTTTCAGGGTCCTTCGGCGGGTCCCTAACCCCTCGCCAAGTCGGGAGGGGAGGTTCGGCTTCGGATCCGCAGACCCCCATTCAAATAATTCTGGATCCGCCCCGGCTAGGAACCCTGAGAGTATGGGGTCTTGAATGGGTTTTTAATTAATTTGACCTACATTCAAGCATACTGCTGAAGGTCTGTTATCAAGTGCTGTCTGCTGCTTTCTCTGCCCTAAGATCTAATAAATCTTTATTAGATCTTAGCTCTGCCTTTCCCCTTCTTTCTTAACTCGAAGACCGCCTTCAGATTCACTCATCGTACTGGCTGGGTCGGTTCAACTCTGCGGGGGGGGGGGGGGTCCCAATAAAGTGTAATCAGTGGAATCAGCTTAATTGTCTGACACGCCACGAATCACCACACCCCCCCTCAGGGACAGTCACACCGGTAGTGATATTAATAGGGAAATCCGATTATTCAATACCACCACGTACTCTTACATACTCATACATTTACATTTGTACATTCTCTTACTTTAACGGTAACAGAAAAGTCTTAGAAGACGGTATCTCCACTGCTCCTTAAGACATATAAAACACCATATATATACGGGCTTGTGTTTGCTGTACAAACTTCAGTTTAAGATTGTTGATCGATCACACAGTAAGTAATAAAATAAAAGATATCTTTTCATTGAAAGCAAATGTGTATCTTACATTATTAAAATTTTTACTTGAATTCGAAAGAAAAGAAACAATAAACTTTAAATTTGATGAAAAAAAAATTTTTTAAGAGAAAAATATTACAACGCCTAACTTCAAAAAGAAAAAAAACATACTACATACCGTTAAACTTTGAAATAAGTATGCTATTTGTATTTTGAGAGCAAAATTACTACAACCTTTAACTTTTAAGCACTTCACAGTTCCATCAAAACCAATGGTGGTTCATTTGATCCAGAAATGTTATTTTCAAAGTCGAAAAGAAAAAATACGTCAAGCGTAATTAAAAAGAAAAAATACTGCATCGGTTAACTTTAAAGGGAAAAATACTGCAAATTATATAATCAAATTATATGCAAATGCAATGCAAATTATATAAAAGAGAAATATCGCTCAAGTATCCATCTCAGTATTTTAACAATTTATCGCGCCGCTCGGTTGTCAAGGTGTTACTGCTCGATCAACACAGGGTGACTCCCGCTCTCGCCACCAACACCTAACAATTATTGAACCGAGCAAACAATTTCTTCCTTTCTTCTTGTATATAGCAACTATAAATATACTTTTCATTTGTACACTGAAATCAATGGTGTTTTAGTCGTTCGCGAAAAAAAGCTGGCATTTTTAAAGTCGGAAAAATACGTCAACGTTTAGTTTTTAAGAGAAAAACTATTGCAGTTACAGAGACGATAAGAACAAAAATTGTGATAGTTTTACTTAAAAGATAAAAAATAAACGCAGATTTTTAAAATGGACGTAAAATGCTGCCATGTTTTGACTATGATTGCTGCAATTTATAGCATAATGTGCAACGTGGTCATCCACATAGTAGACACACGGGGTCAATAAACAAAAAAACTGACTATTAAAACTGAGAAGAATTACAACAATAAAGTGTGAACATTCTGTATTCCGCCACTTTATTCATAATTTTCATGATAACATGTAGAGATTCCGCATTCCACCAGTCTTCTTAAACCAAGCGTGCTTCTTTTACTGCTTGAGTTTTATTATTGTAAATCTTTTGTGCAAATCTTTTTAGATGAATAAGTGAATATCTCACGTGAATCGTAAACTGGAAATTATATACACCATCATCATTAATATTTATATTGTTAGGTAATACCACGCAGATTTTATATTACAGGCCTCCATTATTTTGCCGTTTGCTTCTATCATGCAAGCATTATAGACGGTTTAAACAAAATCTCCACAGAATATGCAAAAATTGTTCAGAAGGTAACGGCAGAGCGTCCCAGGCTTGGTAGCGTTCCCATACGCTTTCGACAATTTGTTATATAGATGCACAGCAAAGGACTCTTCGTTTACTTTGCTTTTATCAAGAAAACATTTTCGAATAACACGATTGTACTCAATAGGATAAAACGATTGCCGATACATACGTCTGACAATGCATGACTCGTTTTTCGATACATCTTCAAAACTGTTGACGTCACACACCCACGTGCTATGTTTTCTCGCCACGCGGGTGAGAAGATGCGGTCCATTTGCCGCCCAATCGCTCTGCTTATAGTTAAGGAGGTATTCTTTAATACACTCACGGAGAAATGGATTGTGCTTATCAAATTTTATAACAGCGCCATTTAACACGGAGTTTTTTCTGTTTTCCCATGCAGTAACATTATTTAAAACTTTTAAACTCTTTACTAAAATGACGTCAGTGTCCATGTAAACGCCACCGTACAAATATAACAATAGCAACCTTATCAAGTCAGTTTCGTGGCTATACCAATATGGTCCTTTTGAAATAACAGGCATTCTTTTCAAAAACGCTTTCGAGCGACCTGCAAAGGTGTCTGGTTCCAGATTTTCAATGCGCCTTAGTAAGTTTTCAAGAGTATAGTTCTCGACCTCTACTTGAAAACCTGCTTCAGTGAACTCCGAAAACGCCTTTTGTGTCAAAGCATTGCTTAGAATGCGCACTTTCGCATTTGGATGGTGGTAAAATATACTCTCGAGTGAACGGCGGTTCCGCTTTGTCTGATTCTTCGTTGTGTACACTTGAAAGAACACCGATTCAGTTGTTTTATTTTTGTTTAACTGCCTGAATGTTTTAAAGGGTGCGATCCCAAATGTTATCGCAGTTTCTCGTAAAGCGCGGGATTTTCTTATCTCGTACCACAAGGTGGCGCGAAAGCGCATGTAGATTTCACGATTTGGGTTCATTTCCGGATTGTCCCAATTAAAGTTGTCAAGGCCTCTGTAGGTTTTCATCCTAAGATCGACAGTAACTGTGTGAAAAAGTTCTGTTAAGCCCTCAGCTCGACGCCCTCCACCTCCAGGTAGGACGTCAGTTTCTACAAAAACTACTGGAATTCCCATGGCAACGCAAGGAAGTGCGCAATGGATGCGCGAGGTTATAACTAATTTTGCGCGTGAATATCTTTCCATCAAACTTTTTGCGGCTTCGTAGCGTGTTAATCTATCAAATTTCTTCGAACTGGGCAAGTTATGGGTGACGTTTATCGCTGATTTTCGTATTTGATATGGAACAATTAATTCTACAGCGAGTTTGTTCACATCAACGACAAATATGCCCTCTCTTTTAATGGTTGGATTGGGATTGCGCATTAAAAGTGTCAAACAGCCCGATTTATATACTGAAAAATTTTGGGATTTTAAGAAATTAAAAGTGCCTTCATCACGAGCACCCACAGGGCCATGATTTCGAAGGTAATTTCTGCCCGGCTCAGTAAGTAATTTCTTCCAGAAACCTGATCCAAAATACATCGATAAAATCAAAGGGTTTAGATTAACTTTTGGTGGCCACATCATGTTGCCAGCGTTATACCATCCATTTAGAAATATTGTGATTGCTTTTTTGAGATTATTGGTTTCGTTAGAAACAAAAGACCTTCTTCTAAACTGATCTTTGGTGTCGCTTGTTTTAGATATGTCATTACCTGCTGTATTTCGGGTCATGTACAAAGACCAATTTGTTGCCTTTCCATTACTTTCTCTTTTAGTGTTTTCTTCCCAAAAATTGTCAGTATTCTCCTTCTGTGCAAGCGATTTTACTACACTTGTGACGTCCCAGGTATCCCTGTCCACAAATAGGTCCACAAAGGGAAGAAACTGTAGCCCTGCTAGCGTTTGAATCTCGTCGCCAACGTTGATATCTCTCGCCACCTTCACTCGATGGTCAAAACTTAGGATCCCAAAGAGTTCTTCTTGCAAAAAAGGGATTACAGAATCTGTACCGCCCTTTTCAATCTGTCTCTTATCTACCTGGCTTAGAACTTTTGACTTCAGTAATACTGAAGCAGTGTCCCAATTTTGGATTCGACTTCTACTGCGACTGTTGTAGGCCGACTGAATCTCGACCATAGCATTTTTGACGAACAACGAATGTCGTTCTAACCTGGATACGAAAAAGATACCTTCAGTGGACATCCATTGCCCCGTGAAATATTCATCTGGTAAATATGACGGCACTATTCTTCTTATATCTATGTAAAGTCCACCAAATCTCCACAGTGCAAGTAAAACACTTATTTCATGTACGACTGCCATAAATTTACGACCCATGAGCAATTTCAGAATGGCGGATTTAGAAATAAAATCGTCCAGTGGTGTGCCCCGAGTTAACTCAGATAACAGTAAACGAAGTACTGTTACGCGTTTCCACGACTTGCCGTCTATTTGATCTATACATCCACTGCTTCCACATAAAAATACAACGTGTTTCTCTGGATTTAACTGCAGGAAGGTCTCTATTTTATCCATAAACGTTTGTGGAATTGCGGCATAATGCGACCAGACCATGACAAAATCTGAGGTCGCATTTTGATGTAGGCCCAAGTGATGTTGTGCTGCAGTTAACGATTCCTCTTTATAGGATGTTGATGTAGGAGATTTGGAGCTACCAGTATTGGCTGGCCTGACAGCAGACATTGCTTTTGTTAACTGGAAAAGAGGGCCCTCCTTATTCTCCCCGTAGATGATTTCACCGGGCGTAACGGACCTGTTCGTAGCCACCAAATTGCCACTTGTGTTAACTTTCGCCACTGCTGGAGACAGGGCTGAGTTGGCATTAAAAGATGTAATAAAATAATTGTAAAATGAAAAAATATATATATAAATGAATTTTTTCAATGCATGAGCAATATTGGAACCTGAAAATGTTCTTTTTATATTTAAAAAGTATTTCAAATATGCCTAATAGCACATACTGACAATGAAATTTTGCAGGCTTATCTACCAGAAACGTAATTAAAATTACAAATTAAATTCTGATTAAAAGCTAAAAAAAAACAGGATTTATATGTTGCAACTATCTCAATGGTCTTGGCTCCGCTGCATGTATATAAATAGGCTATAAATAAGCTGTACGTTTTTCTATGCCTTTAATGGCGAGTAATACTTACTTTCAAAACCGTACATGAATTCGAAGATGTAAATCAACGCCCCAGTTATCAACAGCAGTAAAGGTAGAAGGGTTTTCCGCTTGCAACGAAAACATCTGCGAAGATTCATCACCGAAGATTTCATCTGACCGTTTGCCATGGAGAGAGACGAAGTGATAAATCCGAGAGAAAATTTCCCTTAAAATAAATGACGTGTCTCTAGCACGGAGCTACTGGTATGATGTGAATACTTATTAATGACAGTTGAAAAAACAAATCATGATCTAATAATAATAAAAACTGTAACATGGAAGCGTAGCAAAAGCCGGTGCTTTACTTGTGGCATAATTCATGCATTAATCATGCATTAAGCACAGCAAAAAGAACGAAACAAATTAATAATAGAAAACTGAACATGAACATAAAATCAAACTGAAGTACATGGCAAGGGCGGATCCAGGATTATTTGAAGGGGGGTCCGGAACGACAAACCTCCGATGCAAAGCCGAAGATCGCCCCCTTGGCGTGGGGTTCGGGGCCTGCATGCTGAAGGGCCCCGAAAAGTTTTTGGTGTTTTGGAGGGCAAACGATGTCCTATGGTACTGTTTAGAGCTATGATTCAGCTAGTCAAAATTATAATTTCAAGAGGGGAATGTTGGTGTGATATATTTTTCAGAAACCGGGGGGGGGGGGGGAGGGGGGGGGGAGGGGGAGATAAAAGCATGAAACTTTCCACGATGAATGACCATTGGGTGTTTGTCAATTTTGGATCGAGAGGAAACTCCAAAATTCACAAGTACCTGGATGCTGACTCAGCATTTTATGTAAATGTAAATTTCATCAGAACGAGCACTACCAGCACTAATTATGATATCATAAATAGATTTTAAAAACGTACGCTCACTGTGCACATCTATGAGAGCGATGATTACGTCACAATGACGTCACTGGGTGATATTGCACAGTCCAGAATGACGAATATCCACTTTCTCCCATAGGAACAATAGTCGAACCCTGCAATGTTTCTTTCCCGTATTTTTTTATACAGAAATGCATCCTTTAGGGATAGAAGGTAAAAGTGGATTGATTGCTACTTCCGAGACATTGAGTATTTTTCAATATGGCCGTCTATTATTGAGGAAAAATAGAAAAACAACCAGAAGTTGACCGATATACTTTATTTGTGGCTCTTGTGAACGTCTTTCCTATCGGAAGAACACATAAGGGTACAAGACTACATCATAGCACGTCACTGTTACCGAAAAAAATGGCCGCCAAAACATAGGTAGAGACAGAGGGTAAAGAAAATCGGTAAAATCAGCATATTTCTGGACCATTATCTGCTTGTTTAATATTTAACTTCAAGTTCAAGTTGCCACTCCAATTGTTCCCATATTTGTTTTCTGTAATTGTTAAAAAAAAAGAATTGTCCCCTTTTGGGACATCCGAGCCCCCCCCCCCCCCTTCAAATAATCCATGATCTGCCCCTGGGCTTAATAATAATAATAATAATAATAATAATAATAATAATAATAATAATAATAACTCTTATAAAGCGCATTCCATTATTATACATTTTCATTCAACTTCACAGGTAGGCCTAGTATGTAAAATAAAACTGATACGACAATGGTTAGACTCCCAAAATTTCAGTATCCAACATCACATATATACATGCTGGCCACGACTTCCATAATAAAGACCGCGTCATTGCACCCTGAGTTTCACACACGAAATGGAATATTCCACTAATATAGATGAAGTTAAAAAAACTTATAATTAATAAACCAGTGAACTAATTAATCGAATAATAAATAAATTTCTTTTTCAGGAGAAATCTGATGAAATCGAAACTTTAGATAAACTTGTCAGTTTCTATCAAGATGATAACCATCGAACATCCAGAACACATGTACAGATAACTGGATGACATAGACTTACGGCACCAAAACGGGAGGCACATTTTTTGAACTCTCCATCTTTCCCCATAAGAGAAAAAGTTTTTTCCTGGACGTATGTTTAGGCAGTTAGGCAGTTAACTTTTTCTTCGCTTTTAAAAAGGCTTTTGTCTGATGCTGCCATTAGCTTTTAGTAAAGACGGGTGCCCCCCCTCCCCCCAATTCAACATTCTGGACATATGTACAGATAAGCTGACGATTTAAATTGAGCAGGGCGTTATCTATCAATCTGCTGATTCGACAACCACGCGCACGTATTAACAGTCATATGATAAAGGGTTTAATTATCATATCTATTCTGTGTGATCATTTCATTTCATTTGGAAGTTTTAAACAGATCTGTACTAATGTCACAATGAAGCGGTGCCGGTTACTACAATTCCTGCCTCTGGCGCTGTTTATATTGCCGTCCGGTGAGTATTTTCTCTTTTTTTATTGTTATACATGTATCTGTTGTTAATTTTACCATGGACCTAATGAGGTCATTACGTCCATGATTTTACTCAGTGCTGATTTATTTACTTAGAATTAGACAAATCGTATTTACCTTTGAAAAATGCGGCTTTTGGGGCAGAGAAAATTGTTTCGATTTTGAGTATATGAAAATGTAACACCGGTGTGACAAAAAAAGTGACAGTCGCAATCTAATGAAATTGAAAGCCGCCGACCGATTATACGCAGAGCGACAAATTCACATGATGTCTTATTTGTTTTTTTCCTTCAAACATATATCTTTCAAATAGATGTACTATTTATGGCTATGAGGGCAATTTTAGCGAGAAACGGATTTCGCGGAGTTCTTATGCTTTTTAGAATGCTGACATAATTTATTACACTATACAGGCCCGTAGCCAGCAATTTCAAAAAGGGGTTCTTTTCTGAAAAAGTGGGCCTTTTACAATGAAACCTTTGTGCACTTAGATCAATTTTCACCCAGGATGGACCTTTTCCTGATAAAAAGGGGGGTTCTTTCGAACCCCCTGACCCCCCCCCCCCCGGCTACGGGCCTGCTATATCCAAGCATAATGTCAAGATCTTTTTTTTTAATTTCAATCTTCCTAAATGAAAACCATAAACTTTTTCGCTCTTTTGACATCGCTTCTTGTGCCTCTCAAAGAAAACAAACAAACAAACTAATGTGGATAATTTGCCCGTCAAAAATGTAGAACGATCAAAGTTTTCAATATATCTTTAGATCTACTAGAATAAAGCTAGAATAAAGTATCTTACAAATGTGCCTTTCGAAACTGTTGCCCTCTCTTTCTTATGTTTTCTCAGCAGCGTTAGCGAATCAACTTAAAACAATTTGCTGTATTTCTTAAATTAATTTCGAGAATATTTAAAATGAAAAGAAAAACAGGACAAATTTTTTATATCCACAAAAGAAAGGAATATATTATGTAATCGTTAAATGAGAACTTTACATTTACATTTCACTTTACATTTCAGATGTGAATTAGTTTTCCAGAATGGAATAGACATAAAATGTCCAATTATCAGCAATCATGAAATTATGTAACTTGTCTTATTTATCAGTCGCCAGCAATATAGTTTTTATCTATCGACGTGACATGTGAATATATAAGTACTGGTATATAAGTCACCTGGCCTCATTGACCTACGTATACACAAGTCACCGAACTTTGCACACTTATCAAAAACATTGAGATTATAAGTTATAACAATTAAGAGCAAACACTATTAGATGAATGATAACAGAGTATAGTTACAGTAATTTTTGGTACACTGGACTCCTGAACTCTGAATGAAAAATATTGTGTAAAACTAAATAACGTGCTTTACTATCTTTAGGTTTATTTTGAATAGCATAAGCAATTATTGAATAAGTGTAACTCGGTGCGTCTGATATCCAACTTTCTAATCTCACTTTACATCATGTCACAGGCTTGCGAGATAAAATTACGATAGGCGACACGCGGGTTTTTCCGTGAGCGACATGTCCGGTGTAACGAAACTGTAACTGAAAGTCCACCCTCCATTTAATTGTAATGGTTAGGGTGGTAAATGACTTGTGGTAAAATATGTTCTCCCTGAACCTTTTTAGATATATCCATGGTAATGGTTAGGGTGGTAAATGACTTGTGGTAAAATATGTTCTCCCTGAACCTTTTTAGATATATCCATTTTTAAAAATTTTACCATCCGTATTGGTCATATCTAGTTATCAGTATTTACGTTACTTATAATAAACACCAACTCAAAAGTCAATCTTATCTGAAATATCCATGAACGTTCAGCCGCTCTCAACGCGTGATAACGATAACAAAACATGAAACTGAAAAGGCACGTGTCGGGGAAAAACTTGCACCTTAGCCAGTAGTACAAACCCATCAACATTGACATATAAAGTGAACAAGCTTCTGGCAAGATTCCAATACCCTGAAAAATGTCGCACTGGTACATCCCCTAAAACCCACGCATTTGAGAAACTTCCATTGTTGCGTGATATATTTATAGTAGGGGAGACATCGCAACGAACAATGGATTACGAGGGAGTGGTCAAGGCTAGCCTTCACATGGAATTATATCGCCAGATATCGAATTGCGTGTGGTCTAGTTTTACAATGAACCCAGTGTATTGATAACTTTTGATAGCGTCCCAAAAGAGGGTGGTATTCATTGTGGTCTTCTGTGCAAATGAGTCTATAATTGTACTAGTTGAGAACAATAGAATAATAGCCTACGAGTACATAAAACAATTGAATTCATGTTTAAAAAATAAAATAAAACAAATAATAAAATTGACTTCTGGTGAACGTATAAGCCTAGGTGTAAAACAGAGATGGGCAACCACAAAATTTAGGACCTAAAGATATAATTTTCATCATCAAAATTTCTGGTCTTTCTTTCGCTTTCAATTTTCCTTTGTGCACACTTTATCTACTTGCTCAGCGATGTAACCTTGGCCTCAAAGACAGCAAGTTTTGAATGAACTGCAAAAACAAAGAAATACAATAAATAGGCCCTTAACATTCAAGTCTCATTTCATAAGTGCGTTTTATTCCATTTAAAGCATGCATAACTTCCATTTCAGTCCTTGGTCAGTTATGTCCGGAGGGTTGGCTGGAGAGTCCAGTCAGCGACTACTGCTTTCAATTCAACCCCAAAAGAATCAGTAAAACGTGGGCCGAGGCGCGGAAGGCGTGTCAGGCGAGGCTGGGTGATCTGGCATGGTACGAGAATACAGAGGAGAGGGTACGTTGCTGTGTGTGTGTGTGTGTGTGTGTGTGTGCGTGCGTGTGTGTGTGTGTGTGTGTGTGTGTGTGTGTGTGTGACAGAGAGAAGAAGGGGGTGTGAGGGAGAGGGTGTATTGAGGGGGTGGGAAGGAGAGAGGCATGAGTAGGTAGAAAACGTAGGAAGGAGGGGAAGGAAGGGAAGGGGAGAGAGTTTCACTTTTGAAATTTCTCCAAGAGTGAATAATCATTTTGTACAGTATATACATGTATGTCCGTCAGTGTATATGATTGTAAGACGAAAGATGCATTTGGTATGAAGAATGTCATACCTTCGTTAAATAGTCATATTTAATGAAGGTATGGCATTCCTCATACAAAATGTATCTTTCGTCATAATGACAACAGTCTCCCACGGTGAGAAAATTCAATGGCTTGCCATTCTTCAATATTTTACCAAAATTTGAATAAAATTAACGAATACTACCCTTGTATGCAGTTTTTACCATTGAATTTTAGAGCTTTATCGTGAAAACAGCAGGACGCATGTCCCAGGCAGACCCGGAGACGGAGGCTTTCTGGGTTGGTCTTACCGATGAAGTCAAAGAAGGGGAATGGAAATGGGTGTCAGAGAAAGCTGGCACAGGTAGCAGTCTAATGTAAGTAAAATCTAGGAGTTGTATACATCTCATTGGTAAAAGGAACACTGCGCAGGTGGCATTTACGAGAATCATCTCCTGTATCACAGTTGATATGTACATGTAGGTCTACTGGGTACAGGTCTTACAGGTGTAGGTCCTGGATTTTGATACACTATCGTCACGATAAAAATTCTATAATGTTTACGAAGCTGATGGATACCGGGCGGTCTCGATTGCACTTACGTACACCTTCAGTATCTTAACAACGTTTCATTTTTTACTGTGTAAATAAGTGATTGAGCTCGTTAGCACAGGTAGACAGCAAAAATAAATTTCAAAAAAAATAAATAAATAAATAAATAAATAAATAAATAAATAAATAAATAAATAAAATAATTAAAAAAACTCGATGAAAATAAAATATGCATTTGTTCTCCCTTCTTTTAATAGAGACTGGGCTCACAACGAACCTAATGGAGCCAACAGCGAGAACTGTGGCGAGGTTTTGGTGAAGAGCGATTCTTTCAACGTGGGGAAAATGAACGACAAGGATTGTTACTCACCCTTCCCCTACATATGTAAAAGACCCAAAGGTTCGTATGTCTATCATTAATGATATAAATATATGTAATATATAACAAGTTCTACAAGTGCATTTTCCATGTATTCACTCGTTATATAGTCCGGTAGTCTAATATAGAACCAAAACCCCGAAAGAGGCTCGTCTTTGAACCAAATTCTGTAGAGTACAGCGGTGGGTGGTTATTTCCATTTTTAAATGTTAAATCAGGTAAAATCAAAAAAGGCTTTTGTAAATCGGAGCACAGGTCAGAATATGGAAGGTTTATATTTCTTTTTTCGTTCATTTCGGATTTTTTTATTTATCTGAGAGTTTGAAGGTAAGATCTGGCTAATGAGTAAAAAATAACACTGGAATATTTTCACTGGTCACCTTCTTTTACAGTAATTTCAAAATAATTTCCTTTTAAATTCCTTAACGAGCTTTTTTAAAGGTTTGATTCAATATGTATAGCTTAAAACTGAAAACATATTCAGCTGTCTTTTGGGTCTGTTTATAGTATTTATAACAATTTAACATTGGCCGGCCAATAGATGTACGTTATTCTAATGACTAATTACTAATGTCACACATTTTGTTCTAATTTTGGTTGCCTCAGTTTTTGCAATGTATGGCCAATAACTGAGGCAAACATTTTGGATGTGTAGTAATAAAATAAAATAATGGTTTTTCATACTTTTATTATTTTTATTATGGAAATGACCAACTTATGTGACTACCCTGTACATGTATTGTTAATCTTTTAGCTGTGGTAGACAATTGCCCATCAAATTGGCAACAAGTACAAGACTCGTGCTACAGATTTTTTGATCTGGAGAAGGGATGGCATAGTGCTCAGTACGTATCCCATGTTCTTATCATTGTCAAATAACAAGTTTAACCCAAAATTTTTGAATTGGACTAAAATTGTTCCACACCTGGCTCATTGTAACTTATTTCTTGATTTTGTCAGCAATGTGATATTTTCCCCAAATATTGAAATAATTTTTGGTTTGATGAAAAGGAACTTGATGGTTTTCATGTGGAATTAATATTTATGCCATTAGGATAATGTTCTTGGCTCATGCTTGCAGAGAGATCAAGAAAAGATATATGCTGATGCTCAGTGTAGTCTAAATGTTATGCAGATATATATATATATATATATATATATATATATATATATATATATATAATATTATGCTATTGATTTGGAGAAATATTTGTGATTTAAGTCAAAGCAGTTTTTATACAAGTGCATTCTTTGCATTAAATTTGAATGAAAATAATGCAGTGATATAATGATTAATGACTCTTATTGAATATACAATGTAATTTGCAGCCATGATTGCAAACGGTATGGAGCAGAGTTAGTCACAGTGGACAATGAAGTGCAGCAGCAGTACATTTATGATGTGTCCCGATTTGAAGACAAACCAGTCTGGATTGGATACGAGTCCTTCAATAACAATGTAATGTTTAGGTGCAGATAATGACTAAACACGCACACACTCTCTCTTTTTCTCTCTTTCTCTCCCTCTCTCTCTTGCTCTTTCTCTCTCTCTCTCTCTCTCTCTCACACACAAACACACACAACACACAGACACACACTCTCTCACTCTCTCTCTCTCTCTCTCTCTCTCTCTCACACACACACACAC